GGTTTCAACATGTGAATTTTGGGGGTACAAAATTCAGCCTATAACACCATACAACCCAGAAATCTCACTTGGTTAATTACCCAAGAGAAATGAAAACATAAATTCACACAAATACATGTATCAGATTGATTATAGTATCTTTATCCATAATCGAAAATTGGAAACAACCCAATGTCCATCAGCTGGATGGACAAATTGTGATGTAGTCATACAGTGGAATTCTACTCAACACTAAAAGGAACTAACTATTAATAGAAACAACAATATAAATGAATCTCAGAAGCATTATGCTGGATGGAAGAAGTTAGGCACAAAAAGCTACATACTGTATGATTCCATTTATGTAATAACATTCTGGAAAGAGCAAAACTATGGGAACAGAAATCAGATCAGTGGTTGCCTGGCACTGGGGCTAGGGGAGGGAATTGAATGCAAAGGTGCAAGTGAGGGAGATTGCAGAGGTGTCTGAGGATGATGGAAATATCGATACCTTAAGGGCAGTGGTGTTTGTATGACTTTATGTTTGCCAAAGCTCACCAAACAATTATACCCCCAAAAGATAAATTTTTCTGAATGTCAGTTATATTTAAATAAATCATACTTAAAATAAAGAGAGATAAACTAATTATAGACCAGAGAGCTCCCAGGAAGTTATTTATACAGGTTCAGCTTGCACCCAGCACCTTGTTCTTAGTACGATTGCTGCTTATTGAGATGCAAAGGGGGGATAAAGTAATTGTCCCACCACACAAGCAAAGCAAACTCATTAGCCATCCTTTCTGAGAAGAAACGACAATGATGAGAAGCCACTGATGAAACCACTGCCCATCAGATTCTGTCTCCATTGGTGACAGTCTTGCCAAACGGTGATCCTGAAGGGCAGGGCCTTTGGGAGGAGAGGGGCATGCTGATCTGAGAAATTTTGTCACCTTGGGCTCCACCCCAGGGATTGTCACATACATTTCACTGCTGAGCTGTCTAATTTCTTCAACGGTGATGCTGCATATTTCTGGCCTCTGTTTCCCCACTTGTAGGAAGTAAGGTGAGACCCAGTGTTTGTGTCAAAAGGAATAATGACAGCCAACATTTTTTTAGGTGCTCACCATGTGCCACCTGCTCTGCTAACAATTCACCTGTGTGATGAGTTCATGTTTCATTTGCTCAACAACCCCCATTCTGCAAGTCAGATTTCTAACAGAGGCAGGCTAGCCAGGCCAGCAGATAGCAGATGCAGTTGGTGTCCCTCCACTTTCCTCTTGCCCTGACCACTTCAGTGCTCCTAGCCTGGCCCCCAGTGTCTTGAGATCTTTCTCGGTTGAAACCTACCTCTCTGTCATGTGCAGGATAATGGAAATAGACTCACTGTCCAATGATTGACAGGAGTTGGTATGCAAATATCCCAGTTGTCTGGCCCCCTGGGTAGGATAATTCTGAAGTCTATGCTCTAGACCAGCTGCCAGAATTTCCATAGAGAGTTTACTCCTCAGGTGCCTACTCCTAATTGGCTGCCTTCCTTCCTTTCCTACTATCACTTCTCCCTTCTCCTGTTAGTAGAGTTTGTTTCTCCACATAAATAAACTCTTTTCACTCCAATTCTTAACTCCTGGTCTGCATCTAAAGTAACCTAAACTAACAGCCACAATGGCACCTTGAAGAGTTACTGCCACAGTAACCAAGAGAACCTATTCTCAAAGGAGGCTCAGAGACCTCATGTAGAATTAAAACACATTTTTAGGAAAGTAGAAAGAGTGTCTTAGAAATGTCAGAAGGAAGAGAGTTCATGCAGAGTTGTAGTGCAGAGGAAAGACTTTCTGTAGGTGGTGAGAATTGAGCTCAGCATTTAACTATGAGTTAGAGGGTAGATGTCCCCTTAATTGTATAGTAGGAACATGTGGCTGAATCGTCACAGTTGAGGGAAAAAGATATTCATGACTCTGGCCAAAGGAAGTAAGTACAAAGTGTAAGGCAGGGCCCATAGTGGACAGATTGAATCTGTCTGGATGTTTAGTTTCCTTAGACAATACTACTACTTCTCTAAAAGCTCATCCTCTTCCTTTTGGGAAGTTGAAAGAAAACAAATGGATTGTGTAGCCAGCTTGGGCAAGGGTATCTGGCTGGTAGCCCAGATCCTTGGGGTCTCTGAACTCCTAGCCCCTATTCCAGGACTATGGTGGGCAGCAGTATCTGGAAAAGATAGTTGCCTGAACTTTGGGAGCAATTTGTTTATCCTGATTTCAAAAACATAAGCTAGAGCATCAAATATAATTATGTTTGTGATCATCTTTGGCATGTGGGCAATAATACTTACATCATGGGACTGGCATGGTTAGTAGTAGGAAAATGAGCTTGTACTTGGTTCCTAGGCTGGGTTCTTGGAGGAGTGACTTGCCCCCAACATCAAAACCACAAAATGGGATCCACAATCTCTACTTCCCCAGGTAAAGAATTCTATAAGCCAATGCTTAGAGAGTGCCAAACTGGTGCCCAATAAGTACCATTACATCTCAGTCTAAAGATGTAGGGGGCAGGGGTCACAAACTTGAAGAGAAATGAGCCACATCCTTTTCTGAGTGGTCTCACCCTACTTACTCTGCCCCAGGGCATAACTCCAGGGTAAGAAGGATTCCTCCTAAAACTAATGAGCTTGTACCTCAGGGTTCTACACTTGCAGAGCCCCCTCAAAGTCAAGAATTTTATATTATAATTTAGCTTGTTTTTGTTAAGCAGGGCTCCCTCTCCCAACTGGATACACTTCTGGCTAGGGGCAAGGGTTTTTGGACTCTGGACTCACACTTGGGGTCCTGGTGAAGCTGAAGGACTAAGTCTAACCAGATGCATCCTCGTGGGCTATCCATGCTCCCACTCAGTCTCCTCTTCCTTGCCTCCTCCTTTCTCTCCTCCTGCCTCCCTCAATACTGAAGTCATAGAATGTCCAAACGTGAAGACCATCAAGTTTTGTCTCCTGATGAAAGAAAGAAAGAAAAGAAAAGAAAAGAAAAGAAAAGAAAAGAAAAGAAAAGAAAAGAAAAGAAAAGAAAAGAAAAGAAAAGAAAAGAAAAGAAAAGAAAAGAAAAGAAAAGAAAAGAAAAAAATGTGCTCAGTGGCTGGGTCAGGCTGGAACATAGGTTTCCTATCTTCTAGTTTAGAGTGTCTTTTCTCACACTGTACCCTTCTCCCTCTCTCCCTCCCTCCTTCCTTCCCTCCTTCCTTCCTTTTATCCTTCCATTTATTTCCTAGAAATACAGGAGTTTTATCTTTTCTCTAAAAGGAAGTCACTTCGTGAAAGTGGCCAATGAGAGACAAAGAGCTGTCTAATTTTTTTTGGTGTCCTGCTCTGGGATTCAATTGTTTTCTCTGGCCTTTTGTGCTCTTAGTTTATGAAAAATCAATGGTTTAATATAGAAAAAAAGTCCCCTGGCTATCTATTTAGAGCTATATTGCCTTCATTGCAGGACTCTGTCTCTGCCTGCCTGCCAAGAATCCCTAACTGAGATTGCCTTGCGCGGCGCTGGCCCGGCTCTCCGGAGCCGATCCACCAGATGCAGAACGATAACAGTAATAGCTCCGGTAACAGACCCCAGACACGTGTCCATGGGTGAGCACTTCTCAGAGACATCTCATGTATGACGGCACTCATGCACGAGGTGGACCTCAGTAAATATCTAGCTAAATTGCTTCCAATTGACACTTAATAGCACCCAAATATCATAGGATAAACACCCTATAATGGTAAACTATGCTGCTATGCATTGGGTGTCTACTACACTTCCCACTATTGCTGTTAATTTTATCTCCTCTCCAGCATAGTCTCTCAAGGACATTATTATTACCTGGATTTTATGGATGGAGAACCTGAAGCTCAGAGGGCCTGTGTGAGTGGCCCCGAGGTGATTGTGGAAGCTCCACTGGTACAACAGCGTCTCCTTCACCTTGATAAAGCCCATGTTTTCCCTGCTGAACCTCAGGCTATCTTGTCTTGCAGGATAGTACAATCCAGAGACACTTAGGTGTAGACATTTGGGTGTCCATAGGAAAAGTTTGCTGACTCTGCACTACGGTTCTGACCTACATGTGACGGGACTTGTGTTCATAACTAGGGTCACTTTAAGGTTTTGTAGACTCTGGACACTCTCACTTTGGGAAACTCTGTGAAAGGCCTTCACATCCCTTGTTAAATATATATTAAACTGTTAATATGGAGCTACAGCTGATGAGTGGACATAATATTACATTTTAGAGATGTTTAATTAAACTCTTGATATTTGTTTTACAGATTGCATTTGTATGTGTGTGTTTTGAAACAATATTTCCTTCTCTCCCTCCCCTTCCAGGGGCTCATAGACCCTTGCAAATCTCACTGCCTTTTGGCCTGTAGGGAGGACCTATAAGCCCTTGTAGATGAAATGGCCTGGCTCACTGCAAGTTAAATATCACTCTTTCCCTTTATCCTCTCCACCATTTTGTTTTTAACAGCTACACTGAGGCATAATTTACGTGCGATAAAATTCAACGATTTTACAATTTTTACACTGAATTGTACAATTCAATGATTTTTAGTAAATTTGAAGAGTTTTGCAGCCATCCCTGTAATCCAGTCTCCGTATAATTTTAAGGCAGCTTTGGATGTTATCTTTCTACATAGCTTATCACCCTTCCAAGATGTTACACTCAGGTGCAATCAACCTAATCCAGCATGACCTCCTGTTAACTGGATTACATCTACAGAGACCCTTTTTCCAAATAAGATCACATTCTGAGATTCTGGGCACACAGGCACTTTGGTGGGACATTTTCAACCCTGTAGAGTCATCCTTTCAGTTGTGGTCTTAACTCTGCCACCAACTCACAGGGTGAAATTGGAAAAGCCCTTTCCACTCTACATGCCTCAGTCTCCCTGTGTGTACAGGATTGGACAGGGTAGAATAATCCCCAAGATTCTTGTAGCTTGGAACTCTTTGCATTATGAAATCACTCCACTCCTTGTCTAGGGTCTAGTGACACAAAGTGGCAGCTGAGCAAAGATTCAGAGGAAGACACTGAAAGAAGGCACAGGGAGGAATCTCCTGGAAGCCTTGGTTGTTGACACTCACATTCCTGGAGTTCTTGGTGTCCTCCTGTCGGGGCTGATGATCCGTCTTCTGCTCTCTCAAGCTGAGCATGCCAGAGGAAGATGACAGATGTCTCCTTTTCCTCACTGAGGCCGTCCTGGCGTCACCTCTCTGTGTCCTAACCCAGGTGGTGTGATCAGGCAGGAGGCCTGGTGGGGCCTCTGCAGCCTCAGGGGCCGGGGTGGGGCGCCAGCCAGGGGATGGGGCAAGATCTGGCTGGATCAACCTTCTAGGAGGGGAGGAGTTTGTGTGGCCAGCCCACTACTGAGTTGTGAAGGGTGCCCAGCCCCACCGGTGAGGCCGGGGGTTATTGGGAGGTGTGGCAATGGGTGAGTCACGCTAGTTGATCGGCACACACAGTTGCCAATGATCAGAGCTAGCAGTTCCCAAGCCAGGGATGAAAACTTCTAGAGTTTGAAATTCAAAGCACTTCAGAGATTCTGAAGACTTTTCCTACTATGTGTGCCCTGAGGAACACTAATCCTTGCAGATACCAGGGTATAACCTTGTGGTTAAGAGCACAGACTTAGGACCCATCCTGCCTTCATGTGAATTCTGCTTCTCCCACTTCCCAGCTGTGTGACCTCGGGCAGGTTCCTTGACCTCTCCATGCCTTAGTATCCCCATCTATACAATTACAGCAATGGTTCATGTTGTTAAGGTCATTAAGTGAGTTGACGCTTACAATGCACTTAGAATAGTGTCTGGTGCTTAGTGAGCAATAAGAAAGTATAAACTCAATATAAAGTGGGGAGAGAAAAATGCTGCTACTACTGATAACAATACTGATAATACCAATAATAAATAGTAACAACTTTCTCTTGGAGCTTTCCAGGGCTAGTAGCATGGGCAGGGTTTTAAGAAAGGGTCTTGCAACACAGAAACCCACTTGCCTTTCTTCAACTTAGAGCAGGGGTCCTCAAACTTTTTAAACAGGGGGCCAGTTCTCTGTCCATCAGACCGTTGGAGAGTGTGCACTGTGGGCCCGGGATGAGTTGGCTGCTAAGCAGGACAGGCAGTGGAGGCAAAAACACCCGGAGGGCCGGATAAATGTGTTAGGCGGGCCAGCATGTGGCCTGCGGGCTGTAGTTTGAGGACGCCTGACTTAGAGTATCTCAAGTTGGAATCTTTTCCATCTTATATAACATTCATGAACACCTCAGAAAGTGTTGTAGCCCAACCCACTCATTTTAGAGATGGGAAAACTCTGGGGCCCAAGAAGGGGAAGGGGCTGCCAAAGGTGACTGTGTCCAATTTTTGCTCAAAGAGCCACGGCAGTGCTGGCGTGCATGTGTCTCCTGGTTGAGGCAGCTGGAGCCTGGGACTGGTCAGACGCTGTAAGAGCTAAGGAGAGGAGCAGCCCTGGGCTGCCTGGGGGGTTCAGGAGGGCTTCTGGGAGCATGTCACCTCCAACCTGAGACCTGAAGGGTGAGGAGCTGCTCACGGAGAAGCTTCCAAATTCCTCTGAGCCTGAGTCTCCTTACTTATGAAATGAAGAACATAATCTGTAAACGTTAAGTCCTCTTCATTTCTCTGATTTGGTGGAAGCTTCTCCATGATATTTTCAAGATCTCTGCATACATTTGACCTTTACCTTCTCTGCAGCCTTTGGGTGCTGAAGACTGAATCTGGAGTTCAGCTCAATCAGATACCCATCTAAGTGAGAAAAGGCAAAGCTGATTGGATGTAAACCCTGGGGGGGGGGTATTTTTCTCTGTGCCCTTCTTGCTTTGTGGATATCCATTTTTCCCAAGTACATTTCAAAAAGATGTGATGATTTAGGAGGTCCACGTGGGAGGATTACTTGAGGTCAGGAGTTCTAGACCAGCCTGAGCAAGAGTGAGATCCCGTCTCTATAAAAAAATATAGTGGTGGTGCATTCCTGTAGTCCCCACTACTGGGGAGGCTGAGGCAGGAGGATTGCTTGAGCCCAGGAGTTTGCCACTGCACTCCAGCCTGGGCTATAGAGTGAGACCCTGAAAAAAAATTTGATGAGTGAGAGGAAGAGGCTGAATAGATGGCCAGAGAGATTAGATTAGAGGAAAAAAGATCCATGTTACTTTTAATGTGAGCAGACAGGGTTAATCTGGAAAATCAGGTTAGTTGTAGGGAGATAGAAAAGGGATGCATGTCAATGAGGTCAGGGTGGGGAGTTGTAAAGGGCATTTAACACAGAAGAGGCACAGGGAGGACCTGGAGGGATTAAATGCAGGTCCCTGAAGCCCAGCAGGAGAGAGAACCACCTCTAGGCCACCTGGAATGGGAGCTGCTCCTGGAATGAATGTCTTCCGTTTCCTGGGCTCCCTCCCATCCATCTCCACCATGCAGCCAGAGGGGTGATTCTAAGACACAGACAGGCTCCCTACTGCCTGCACCGTAAAGTCTAAATTCCCTTTGTTGGGCACTGAAGAAGGTTTGGATCTGGCTGCTAGCTGTCTCATCTCCCTGGGATATCTCTCTCTGGCCACACGGTCTACCTGGCTGTTTCCTAAGTATTTTCTGTCCTTCAATGCCTCTAAAGTTTTCCTCTGGACTAGTAGTCCTATTTCTCTACTTGGTTGCTGTTATGGCTTGAATATGTTAAAGTCCAAGCCTCTGAAACCTGGAAATGTGACCTTATTTAGTAATAAGGTCTTTGCAGATGCAATCAGGTGAAGATGAGGCCATACTGGATCAGTGTAGGCTCCAGCACCACACAAACATGTCTTATAAAGAGAGAGAAGAGAGGAGACACACTCATAGGGAAGAAAGCCATGCAGTGATAGTGGCAGAGGCTAATTAGATGGATGCAGCTACAAGCCAAGGAACACCGAGAATTGCAGAATTGCCCACAGCCACCAGAAGCCAGGAAGAGGCAATGGAGGATTCCTCCTTAGAACTTTCAAAGGGAGCATGGTTCTGCCAACACCTTGATCTCAGATGTCCAGCCTCCAGAACTGTGAGGGAATAAATTTCTATTGTAGTAAGCCACCTGGTTTGTGGTACTTTGTGTCAGCAGCCCTAGGAAACTAATGTAGATGTTTTTCTGTATTTTTTTTTTTTTTTTGCCAGTGAACAGCTGTCATTTTTGCCTGCTCTGCATCTGTTCTCATCCTGGGAATAAGAATGCCTAATTTCCCTTTGTGAAACTGACCTGCCCTGGGCGGCCTCTTATGCCATGCAGACACTCCCTCCTGGAAATCGGACTCTCAGAAGCAGAGTGGCAACCAGTGGGTAAGTGACTGGAGCTCAGTTCTCTCTCTGGCATTGTTCTGCAGAGACAGACCTTGTGCTCCTCCTCCCTCGGTCCCTGGAACAACCCACTTCCCTCTCTTTAAGACTAGGCGTCTAACGCATATTCTTCTCATAATTTTTGTTTGTTAGTCTTTTTCTGTCGTCACCTTAAATTAGCTAGAGCTTCCTTCTCTGTGTTTACAACTACCAAACCCTAACATCACGCAGGCCCCAGATCACATAGTCTTTCCTTTCCAGAGTCTTCTCAGGCTCAGGGATGTAGGTAAGCTCTCTCCTGTGGCCCAGGCACCTTGCACACACACTTCCCACTACCCCAGCAGTCACGTGTAGCTCTGTGTGTGACTCTGTAGAGACTACTCCTGCCTTTCACTTAAGGAGAAAGAACTAGGTTTCTCTTTGCATCAGCAGTGCTGGCGAAAGTAGAGACACTCGATTAATCAGTGTTGAATGGCCAGATGAAAGGCTCCTCTCCAGCATCTCCCATAGTGTTGTGCATGCATTAGGTGCTAAGAAATGATAAATTGGTGTATCTATTGACATCTCCTATCACAGCCCCCACAGGACACCTTCCATAATTCCAACATTAATGCACTCCAAAGCCAGACCTAGGGTGGGGAGATTTAATGCTTCTTTGGGGCAAAATTTAAGGTGGTGCCTGCTTTCATGATCAGAGTGGTGTGTATTCTCCCTCAGAGTGTTGCCTTAAATTTTGAACTTCATTCCCAGCCCCAGTATGCTTTCTTCCTAACTAAACTGCTCAAGATTCCCGAGCTTTGATATCAAATCCTCAAGCCTCTCGGTCTAATATCCCACCCACTGGTAGTATGATTCCATTTCCTCGAGGAATGGACAGATACTTGGTAAGATGTTGTGGGTGTAGTGAAAAAAACTCTAGACTCAGAGGCAGGAAAAATGGGCCTTATATCTGTGCCTCCATTTAATAGTTGTGTGATTTTTAAGGATGTCAATTCCATTTTTGTGCCAATTTCATCATCTCTAAAATAAGGGTAATATTAACAAGACTTATTATTATCACATTATGTTATAAAAATCAACTAATATGTTTAAAGTAGTTAAAACAATGTGTAGCTGATAGCAAGCACAATGTAAATTTTAATTTTTACTGTGGTCATTTGACTTGCTAGAAGAGTCCACGCTAATCTCTTTTTGCCTTTATGAAATGTTGGGGGGCATACTACCCATGTATATAACTTATGGTATTATAGTATTAACCAACCTAACAAGGATGGTTAGTCCATAATATGAGAGTTTGGGTTCCAGTGTTAATATAACTACAGATTCAAATCCCAACTCTGACATATACTGGCTTTATGATTTTGAGCAAGTGAAGCTGACTTTCTAAGACTCAATTCAGTTATCTTTAAATTAGGGACACTAATTGTCCCTATCTCAAAGAGTTTTGTGGGAGTTATATGGAATTATAGATACAAGCACACTGCAGAGCTTCTGACACCCAGGTGGTGATCAATGAGTAGTAATTGTTATTGTTATTGTTGTTGCCAAGGCTTCCGTCAAAGAGAGGGTTAAAACGGCAGTTGCCTGTGACTCTACAAGGTGATTTATGGGAGCCAATGATTCTCTTCAGCAGGCAGGGGAAGGATATCAATCGGAGAAAGTAAGCTGTAAGTGAAAATTGAAACTGTCAGATGGTGTGGACTCCCTGCTCAGTCTCTGGCAGTTTTTTCTCCCTTCTTTTAATTAAAAGTTTTTGTCTTCTGATGTAGAAGTGAAATAAATCACTCCTGACCTTAGCATGCTAGGCCCTACCTGGAGCTGAAGCCTGTATGTATTTGTGGGCTTGGATGTCTTCCTTCTGGAAATCCAGCACTGTGACCTGCCCCCTAAATTCACCCAGTCAGGTCACCCAGGGTAATGGTTGCAATGGCTTTGAATCTTGACATGAGTTTAAAACCCAAATATTCTCCCATTCTGTAGGTTCTCTGTTTACTTTCATGACTATTTCTTTGGCTATGCAGAAGCTTTTTAGTTTGATCATATCCTATTTATTTATTTTTGTTGCTGCTGTGATTGCCTTTGGGGTCTTCTTCATAAATTCTTTGCCTAGGCCAATGTCTAGGAGAGTGTTTCCAACATTTTCCTCTAGAATTCTAATAGTTTCATACCTTAGGTTTAAGTCTGTTATCCAGTGTGAGTTGATTTTTGTGAGAGGTGAAAGGTGTGGGTCCTGCTTCAGCCTTCTACAAGTGGCTACCCAGTTTTCCCAGCACCATTTACTGAAAAGGGATTCTTTTCCCTAGTGTATGTTTTTGTCTGCTTTGTCAAAGATTAGATAGCTATATGAGGATCGTTTTATATCAGGGTTCTCAGCTCTGTTCCATTGGTCAATATTCCTATTTTTGTGCCAATACCAGATTGATTTAATTACTACTGCTTTGTAGTATAGTTTGATATCTGGCATATTAATGCTATTTTGTTTTTATTGCCTAGAATTGCTCTTGATATTCGGGGTCTTCTCTGGTTCCAAACGAAGCATAAAATTATTTTTTCCATATTTGTGAAGAATGATGTTGGGATTTTAATAGGTATTGCATTGAATCTGTAGATCAGTTTGAGTAGTATAGACATTTTAACGATGTTGAGTCTGCTGAACCATGAGCATGTTATGGATTTCCATCTGTTTACATCCTCTGCTATTTTCTTCTTCAGTGCTTCATAGTTCTCCCTGTGGAGGTCTTTTACTTCCTTGGTTAAGTATATTCCTAGGTACTTTATTTTCTTTGTTGCTATTGTGAAGGGTATTGAGTCTTTGATTTGGTTCTCAACTTGATTGTTGTTGGCATATATGAATGCCTCTGATTTCTGTTCACTGATTTTGTATCCTGAGACTTTACTAAATTCATTTATCAATTCCAGGAGTTTCTTGGTTGAATCCTTGGGGTTTTCTAAATATAATATCATATCATCAGCAAACAGTGAAAGTTTGATCTCTTCTGCCCCAATTCGGTTACCTTTAATTCCACTTTCATGTCTGATTGCTATAGCCAGGACTTCCAGCACTATGTTGAACAGAAGTGGAGATAGAGGGCAGCCTTGCCTGGCTTCAGTTCTAAGTGGGAATGCTTTCAATGTGGAGGAAATGGACAAATTTCTAGAAACACACAGCCTCCCTAGGCTCAATCAGGAAGAAATAGAATTCCTGAACAGACCAATATCAAGAGCTGAAATAGAAACAGCAATTAAAAATCTTCCTAAAAAGAAAAGTCCTGGCTCAGATGGTTTCACACCAGAATTTTACCACACTTACAAAGAAGAGCTGGTGCCTATCTTGCAGAAATTATTCCACAACATTGAGAAGAATGGAAACCTCACCAACATCTTCTATGAAGCAAACATAACCCTGATACCAAAACAAGGAAAGGATGCAACAAAAAAAGAAAACTGCAGACCAATATCCCTTATGAATATAGATGCACAAATTTTCAACAAAATCCTAGCCAACTGAATCCAGATGCTTATCAAAAAAATAATCTAGTGATCCAATGACACTCTACAAAAAAGACACCTGCACTCGAATGTTTATAGCAGCACAATTCATAATCGTAAGGCTGTGGAAACAGCCCAAGTGCCCATCAATCCAAGAATGGATTAATAAAATGTGGTATATGTATACCATGGAGTACTATTCAGCTCTAAGAAACAATGGTGATATAGCACATCTTATATTTTCCTGGTTAGAGCTGGAACCCATATTACTAAGTGAAGTATCCCAAGAATGGAAAAACAAGCACCAGATATATTCTCCAGCAAACTGGTATTAACTGAGCAGCACCTAAGTGGACACATAGGTACTACAGTAATAGGGTATTGGGGAGGGGGGAGGGGGGCGGGTGTATACATACATAACGAGTGATATGCGCACCATCTGAGGGATGGTCATGCTGGAGACTCAGACTTGTGGGGGGAGGGGGGATGGGCATTTATTGAAACCTTAAAATCTGTACCCCCATAATATGCCGAAATAAAAAAATAATAATAATAATAATCTATCATGACCAAGTGGGTTTCATCCTGGGGATTCAGGGATGGTTCAACATAAGTAAATATATACATGTAAATCACCACATAAACAGAAGCAAAAACAAAGACCACATGATTCTTTCAATAGATGTAGAAAAAGCTTTTGACAAAATTCAACACCCTTTCATGATAAGAACACTTGACATGAGTTTAAAACCCAAATCTTTGACTTCCTTCATGTTGGAGTTTTGCTAGTTATTCATAAACAGAGTTTTATTTTTCTTCTTTTTAAAATAAAATAGAGGTAATAATGTAATTTTTAAAAGTCATTTTTTAAAATAATTAGATCAGAAAAATTATTTATAGCACAATGAAAATGCACAGAAACTCCTCAGTGAATATTGGTCCTCTTTCCCTCCTCCCCTCCTCACTCTGGTCTCATATGTCATGGTCTCTGGACCATCTGATATTCACAACCTTATTAACCGACATTCTTCACTTAAGGATATAGCATGGCCCCATGCATAAGAGTGCAGACTCTTGAATCATGTTGCCTGGATTTGAGCCTTAGTGATGACACTTATTATGTGGTTTTCAGCAACTGAGTTAACTTCTCTGTTCAGGTTTTCTGTCGTGGCAATAAAAAAAAAAATCCCAAAATTTAGTGGTTTGCAATAAGCATTCTATTTTGAACACAATATTGTGGATCAAAAATTCAGGGATCAGCGTGGCAGTTCATCTTGGACCCACATGGCATCGACTACAGTGGCTACGGTGGAGGAGTCACTTCCACGAAGACTTGTTTACTCACATGCCTGGTGCCTCAGTGCTCCTTGGCCTATGTCAATCTCCTCATGGCATCATGCTCCAGGACCCCTCCCCATTGTTTGGGTTTCTCCTGCTGTGACAGATTCAGGGGTGTTGGAGTTGTCATGCAGTTTTTCAAGGTTTCAAGAGAGAAAAATGTAACAAGTAAGATT